CACACACACACACACACACACACGCACCACACACACACACACACACACACACACCACACACACACCACACACGCACACGCACGCACGCACGCACACAAACATACAATATATGTATATAGACTATTACACATAGCGTGACATAACGTTCTAGTGAAGATGTCATTATGGCGTAAGTCGGATGCAATGATTCCAATTTGATTTTAGAAATACCTGTTCGTTAATCCGGCCATTCGCTCACCACTCTCTTCTGCTTCAGATTCAACCATGGAATGTTCGCACCTCGAGACCGCTTGCGGGACTCCCACTACCATTCTATGTACCGCACCTTGCGATCTGCTCGCATTAACTACGCCGCGCAGTCTGCCAGGTTTAAGGACGAGGGAGACCTCTATAAGGTGAGTGCTGTGTTTCGCTTCTTGCAGTCAGAGTTAGAGGCCTAAGGAGAAGGAAGCGGGATGTATGAGTTTGGTCGTGAATGAGGAGCTCAGGAAGAATGTTAGATAGGCCTACCTGTGGGTGATAGACTGAATGGCAATGGGAGGTAATGCGGTAGTTGATTGATTAATGATGTAGATTACTGTTTTGGAATGGCGATACTGGGTTCGAAAATGATAATTCAACAATGGAAAGGGTATTCTGAATATTATAAAAGACTGTTTGATAATAATGATATGACAGTAATGATAAAAACACTCGTAACGAAAGCAGATGGTTGTTAGGTTTGCGAAAAACGGTTCTGGGAGGGAGGTAATGATAAAATGAATACCTGCAAGAATAAATTCCCATGAATTAACATGCCGGCTTTAACATCATAGATATACTGCATATTTCGAAACAAGTAAATGTAAGATGTGATGATAAAAAAGTATTTAAAGTGAACCTTTAAATACTTTTTTATCATCACAAATAACGATTTGCAAGGCATACTGTGGATTATATACGACGGGGAAGTTAAAACGTTAAGGTAAAAAAAATATAATAAAATAATGTTAAAACAAATTGATTCAGACTGAATCTAAGTATAAGTGTGTGCCAATACACCCTATCCAAAAATATATTATGATAATAATTTAAAAAGTAAATGAAAAATAATAATGAAGAGACACATTCCGCAACATGCATACAGCACATACCAGGTATAGTGAAGGTGTGCATTTCGTCATTGTGGAAGTGCGCATTCGAGGGGTGTTTTCTTACTCCACGAACCGGTTCTTAAGGTCGACGGCCAGAACTAGAGTAGGGGAAAACATGAATTGGAGTGAGGAGGTAGAATTACGAGAGACGAGAATAAAAAGGTAATGGGCAACGTTCAAGCTGACTAGGAGTAAAAAGAAAGGGGTGTTACTTCTTGCCTGCTGTGTAGCAATGAGGGCCATCTTGTAATAGTTCTTTAATATGGATACTCCTTATGTTTTTGTTGCTTTTTTTTCGAAAGTTTGCGTAATGAATGTCTTGCGGAGGTGTAACAGTTCTGTGCTTTTACCGTATGGGGAGGATATTGCTCTAGAGATTTGCAAAGAGGTTGTGTCGCTCTTGTCTGCCTGTAGGCATGCCATCCGTTGCTTGCAGGCATGGTTTGGCAACTTGTCGAGCAGCTGTTGTCTAACCTTGGCTTACGGGATCATATTTGTCAAATGCATTGTAAGATGTGTTTTTGGTCCAGAGTCCAGTAAAACTCCCATGGAAAAGTCTTTTAACTTCCCCCGTATTATTACCAGGGTTGTAGTACCCGCATATAGCCATACTATCAGCTACGTTTTAAAACCGACGCGGAGGAAGTTGATTTTATAGGCTTAGCACATAGAGATATATAGATTATTTATCATTCGTGCAGATCGTTATTATGCATGGAATTGTTTCCCGATTGTTTCGGATAAATCAAAACAAATGTCGACACCTTTCATGGCGCTAGTTCTACGAGTTTTGGTGAGAGATGGGAGGGTAGCGGAAACGTGAAGGTCAGAGACACGTAGAGAGTATATATAGATAGAGAGTGGGAGGGAGGGAGGAAGGGAGAGAGGGGGACGGGCAAGGTCACGCTGGGAATCTCTCCCAAGCCATTTCAAGGTCAGGGACAATATGTAGAGAATGCAGATCGTTACTGAACAGGAATTTTCAGTGTATATGGTTTGCCATATGATAAAGGATACTTGTTGTGGCAGTTCATGTTTATGAAAATACACAGTACTTGTACTTTGCTATGTATTGACTTTGGTTTTGCATACCTTCAAAAAGAAGGATAAATATAATTATATATGTATAAATGTATGTATGTGTAAATATGTATATATATGCATATATATATATATATATATATATATATATATATATATATATATATGTGTGTGTGTGTGTGTGTGTGTGTGTGTGTGTGTGTGTGTGTGTGTGTGTGTGTGTGTGTGTGTGTGTGTGTGTGTGGTGTGTGTGTGTGTGTGTCGTGTGCGCACGGACAGGCGGCGACAGTATCGCGCCGGGGCGTGTGGACGACGTGGGCGGCGAGCGCACAACGAGTCCACCCTCTCGGGCTCCTCGCGGGCGTCTCGTACCCTGCACCGACGCTTCAACCTCCCACCCGACGCCGACGGGGAGAGGGTGGAGTCGGCGCTCTCTCGGGACGCCGTGCTCACCGTCACCATACCGAAGAGGGTGAGTTCGGGGCCGTCGGCGGGGGGTGCCTCGGGGCCTTCTCGGAGGTCTTGGCAGAATGGGCTTGGTCTGCTTGTTCTTTTCTGTATGTCTGTGATGTCGTTTTTTGACATGTTTAAGTTTTTCTTTTTATCTGTCCTTCATCATTACATTGCGTCATCGGTCGTCGTCCGTCCATGTCATGTTATCATGTCGTCGTCATCATCTTCATCAACATCAATGATCATTCATTATCATTACTATCATTATCTCCATCATCGTCGTCAGCATCACCATCACCATCATCGTCTTCAACACCATCGTCAGTCATCGTCATCATCATATTCATTTACATCACACCATCAATTCCTCATCATCATTCACATCCATCAATCATCGTCATTGTCATCATTATCATCACTATTGTCATATCATCAATCACCATCGCATAGCCAATCATCATTATCATCATCATCGTCGCCATCATCGTCATCATGATCACCGTTATTACATCATCATCGTCATCGTCATCGTCATCTCCAAAGCCATCATGGTCATCATCATTGCTAACGTCATTGACGTCATAAGAGATATGATTTTTATTTTCAATTGACTTCCACTGTTTTTTATATCTTTTTACTTTTTTTCTAATCGCAATGATTCTTGTTTTTCTTATTATTCAATCTTACAAAAAATAGATTAATGATATGAATATGTATTGTATCAGGGAGATGTAATCTCAGTATCCCACGAAATCATGGATAGAGAATATGGCTAATTGTGAAAGTCTCTTGAGAACAAGAGAATAAATGTAGTACTTTTCAAAAAAAAAATCGCGAAAATCTCGTTAAGTGGATGTAATAACATGTAGATTCACCAGAACTTCGACGACTTTATAATGAATTTATAAAGAAAGATTAAGACATAAGATTTATGAAACAGCAATCCGTTAACCCAAGTAACATCCTCCTCAGACGGACGTCCGTGTGATCCCCGTCACGATGGAGGGAGACTCGGGCTCTGAGTCCGGAAGGAGCGGCACCAAGAGGCACTCGGCCAGTCATCCTGACCCAGGACCCACGCCCAGGAAGAGAACCCAGGAGGATTCGGGCGCAGGGCGGGAGAGGAGCTCCAGCAGGGGGAGGGGGGCCTTCGGGGAAGACAGAAGAACCGAAGGCAGGAGGGATCAGGAGGACCAGGATGCCCGGCGATCTAGAGAACGGTCCAGGAGGAGAGGGAGCGAGATGTACCCCGAGACGAGTTCCTCCAGGGCCGAGAAGGAGCTGAGGAGGAAGAGCTACCCCGACAGCTCCAAGAAAGAGAAGAGGGAATACACAGTAAACATACAGCGTTCGGGTAAAGACGAGAGTAATGGCAATAAGAGAAGAAACCGAGATATACCCGAGGAGGACGAGAAACCTGAAGCGAGAAGTCGCCAGAGGAGCTCAAAGTATGAGGAAGCGAGAGAAATAAATATACCAATTCGCGTCGAGTCTTCAGGAGACTCCGAGAGTGTCTTCCCTTACCCTGCGTCTCGAGGAGAGAAAGTTGCTCAAAATAATGAAGACACTTCTCAAGAGAGTTCCCCCAAGCACGAACCTTCAAAGCTGTTTGCCGCTTCTAAGAAGCCACAGTCGGAGAGGAAATCTTTTCTTTCCAATGACAGAATTCGTGTTCCGGAACCCTCACGCGTCAACGGAGATGAAAAAGAAAATATCAAACCTTCCACGGACGATCTGCTATGGAAGTACTCAAACGCCTATGAGAGCAAGTCACAACCGGAAGAAAGTCAGGCTGACCAGAGTCCAACGAGAACGACAAAAACGCCCAAAATCCCGGACTCGGAGCCAAAGAAATATTACTTCGGGGCCAAACCCATGAATGAAACCCATGAAGTGCGCGTCGTCCCTCCGGATGAACCTCGAACTTCTCAGGTCGAGGGGAAATCCGATGCGAAGAAGAACGAAGAAGATGTGAAGACGAAAGAGCGAAAGAGGGTACAAGACGACGAAGACACGAAGGTCATTAACCGAGAGAACACCGACGATTATAAAAGTTTCTTAAAGACCAAGTCACAAGATGGAGATTCTCCTTCATCTGGATCGAAATCTCCCTTGATTGGTCGGGAGGTCAAAGTTGAAAAGAAACAATCAGACATGGAAAAGGACATGTTTAACGACTGCTGGCAGAACTTCAGTAGCACCCTGCAAGATGTGCTTTCGCGTCTTCAAGAGCTGTCAGCAGAGCTCGGACATGCACGGGCATTAGTCACACCTTCATCACCGCCTACTTCCGCAGAGGTGGCTGACGAAGGGTCGAAGTCGGAGGAGGAGAAGTCCACGGGAGATCGCTCGCCTGACGCAACCAGCATAAAGGTAAACTCGCAGTCACTATAATCAGTTTTCTTTCCAATTTTGTCTCCCTCTCCGTCTCCCTCTTCTTTTCCCTCGCCCTCTTCCTCTCCTTTTCCCTTTCTCTCTCCCTCTCCCTCTCTTATCCCTTTCCCTTTCCCTCTAGCACTCTCCCTCAGCTTCTCCTCCTCATTTTCCCTCGCCCTCTCACTCTCCACTTCCCTTTATCATTCCTCTCTCTCTCTCTCTCTCTCTCTCTCTCTCTCTCTCTCTCTCTCTTCTCTCCTCCTCTCTCTCTCTCCTCTCTCTCGTCTCCTCTCTCGTTTCTTCTCTCTTCTTCTTCTCTCTTCTTTTCCCCTCATCTCTCTCTCCTCTCTCTTCTTTCCTTCCTCTCCTCTCTCTCCTCTTCTCGCTCTCTCTCTTCGTCCAATCTTACTTCGTTGGATGGGGACACAGATTGGGATGGGAACAGACTCACCTCCCTCTGAGCGAATATGACTGGCCCATATTTTTATGCTCATCGACGAATCCAGTTTGCGAAACCTATCAGTTTTACAGACAGTTTGTTCCTGAATTAAAACACCCCAAGTAGCCAGTACAAAGAGAGACGAAGAGGCAGAGAGAAAGAAAGTGACCAACCCCCACGCCCGGGAGGGCAAAAGTCTTCAGATTATCTTTTGACAGGGGTCTGAGTGAGTGATGGTAAGTGATGCAGGTCTACTGTGTCGGGGGCCACTGATCGTGATCGATGCAGTGTGGGTGGGAGGGTTAGGGTAAGCCCACGTGACACTTGCAGTGCGATGAAAGTGAGTGAGTGAACGTGCCAGTGCGCTGCCGGCATGTGAGCGTGAATTACAGGAGAGTCGGTGGGGGTTGCGTCCTCCCGCGTGATCGTTGGCCGTGGGTAGTCGACGGGCCCCGAGCCTCACCGGCGTTGGCAGAGGCTGCCCAGGACGAGACCGATGGACGAGAGAGAGGACAGAGAGAGAACGAGACGGAGAGCGATCTGGGAGGACGGCAACAGACCGCACCAACACCCAACGGACCGGCGCGCGACTGACCGCAAGAGAGGGAACCTGGAAGAAGAGACGAAGGAGCGAGGAGAGAGATGACGGAGATGAGAGGGGGAGGAGAGGGAGGAGAGCGAGGGCGGTGCGACCAGGGGGCGGGGCGGGCGCGAGGGAATACAGCCCAGCGTGGAGTCCAAAGTAAATGATTTTTGAATTCGCAAAGGTGCACAGGTGAACTGATGCCAGGATTCCTGGTGCCGTCTTGCAATAAAGTGTCAGTTGAGGGAAGTCGCTTCTGGACTGATTGGTAGCCGCGCCCTGGTGTATTCAACGAGTTATGCGATCTGGGGCCTAATAAACGTTGTTATCTTAATGGAATATATCGTCTTACAGGAGTTCTTGGAGGTGCCTGGACTTTACGTTACTGCTTAAGATATTTTTTGTTTCCATTGTTGGGCCAAATTTTTTGTTCATTTACTTATATTGGTCTTTCTTGTGTCCGAATAGACACGATGCGTATAGTTATGCAACAGAACGGATAAGCTGTCGTTGACACACTCGTTGGCTACCGCGCAGGCGTTAGTTGTCGCTTGTGGAGCGCGAGGCTCTGAAGCGTTGCATCAATGTACCTGTAGCAGTAACACTATGTACATGGGTGCGTCTTATCGCCTGATCCTTGAATGGTCGTCCATAAAGAAATTTATCTGTAGCAAGGCAACTCGGCCTGCCAGCCGTCCTGTTCTGTTGGGTCTGAACACCGAATGCGTGGAGATTTTGTCTTTCTTATCGTGTCGTTAGCTACTGGGGCGCGGTATCCGGGATTGAGAGGCATTTTTCGTGAGTTATGAGCGTGTGCGCTGAGTGATTTGGTTATCTCAAGTGATGGCGATGCGTGGTTCTTATGACTGTTGTTGATATTACGTAGATGGTACATGTGCAACGCTGTACGTGTAGGCAAATAAACGCAATAGCACGGCGCCACGCGTGATCTGGCGCGCAGCGCGCGCACACACACGGGGCGGACACACAGCGACCCTACACCACACACACACACACACACACCACACACACCACCACACACCACGCGGGCACTGACACCACAGTCGCCGACACCACACACACAACAACACCACACACACACACCACCACCACTCACGCAACACACCCGACACCACACCACACACACCACACCCACACACACACACACCACACATAGCACACACACACACACACACACACACAACCACACACACACCACACACGCACACACACACGCACACGCCACACACAAAACACACAAGACACACAATATATATACTAATAAATTTCGGCATACCACACCAGCACACAAACACCTCCCCACACACTAACTTGTATCTAGCAACCACATTTTTTCCAGAAGTATGAAAGTTCAAACAGCCTTCAAACACTGGTCCACGTAGATATAACCTGCACATTGAACGTCACGCAACGACAGACTCATCAGGCACATATCCATTGGTTTAATCCCTCCTCTCTCTCTTCTCTCTCTTCTCTCTCTCCTCTTTCTCTCTCTCTCTCATCTCTGCTCTCTCTCTTCCTACTCTCTTCTTCTACTCTCTCTCTTCTCTCTCTCTGTCTGCCCCCCTTTCTCTTTCTCTTGTCTTTCTATTCTCTGCTGTCTCCTTTCTCTTCTCTCTTATCTTTCTTCTCTTTCTCTCTTTCTTCTTTACTCTCTCTTCTCTCTTTTCTCTCTTTCCTCTCGTGTTCCTTGCTCTCTCGTGTCGCTTTCTCTCTCCTCTCTCTCTCTCTCTCTCTCTCTCTCTCTCTCTCTCTCTCTCTTCTCTCTCTCCTCTCTCTCTCTTTCTCTCTCTCCTCTCTCCTCGCACTCTCTTCCCTCTTTACCGCTATTCTCCCTCTCTCACCTCTCTCCCTCTCTCTCTCTCTCTCGCCTCTCTTTCCCTTTCTCCCTACTTCACTCTCTCCCTCTTTCCCTTCTCCTCTCTCCTCTCCTCCCTCACCTCCCTCCCTCCCGTCCCTCCCTCCTCCCTCTCGCTTCTCTCTCTCTCTCATCTCTCTCTCTACTTCCTCTCTCTCTCTTCTCTTCTCTCTCTCACTCTCTTTCTCTCTCTCTTCTCTTCTCTATCTCTATCTCTCTCTTCAACTCTCAATATCCTCTCTTTTCCCTCCCTTCCTCCCCCGCCTCCGCCCCCCCACCTCGTTCTCAGCACTCTCTTCCTGCCCTCCCTCCCTTCTTTCGTTTTTCTTTTATGGTTCATTATTTGTTGGCCTTTTCCTTTATCCCTATTCGATGCTTTCCTACTGTTTAATATATTCATTATCTCTTCTCACTCTTCTGATACACCATCTTTTTTTCTTTCCTTATTCTCGCTGCCTCGCACATTTATCACCTTTCCTCTTCTCCCTGCCATCTTTCCAATTGTTTCCCTCTTTTCACCTCTCTCATTCGAGCCATTCATCCTATTCTCTCTCGTATCCCATTCCGTCCTCCCTCCTTCTCTCATTCTCTTCTCCCTTCCACCTTTCTCCGTCCTTTTTCCCAAATTTTCCCTTCTGAATCCCCATTCCTCTCTACTTCTTCTCTCTTCCACCCCGCCCCCGCCCCCTTCGCGCCCATAATAGAGGAGGTGATTATTTCTTTTCTCGACGCATCTTTCCCCTATGAAGGTTCGATTATAAGTGATCCTCAGTCAGTGCACTTTCTGCTCTCCGGCATGTGTGTGCCAAGTCTCCTGTCTTCAGATGATGGAACAAGGAGATGAGCAGCTTCACGGATTGGGAGGGGGGCGTGAGATTGTTTAAAGGGCGTTGGCTAATTTATGTCGTTCGTGTGTGATTTTTGATTTATGTAAATTAACTGTGCTTATCTGATATAGTTCTACTGATCGTGTATATGTTTTTTAAATTGTTCCTATTCGTAACTTCGCATTTATACATACCAAACTCTTCTCTCTCTCTCTCTTCTCGTTCTCTACTCTCTCTCATCTACTACTCTCTATCCCTCTCTCTCTCTCTCTTCTCTGCATCTCTCTCTCATCTCTCTCTCCTTTCTCTCTCTCTCCTCTTCGTCTCTTCTCTCTACTCTATTCTCTCTCTCTCCCTTCTCTCTTTCTCGCTCTCGTCTCTCCTCTCTCTCTCTCTCTCTTCTCTCTTATCTCTCTCTCTCTCATCCTCTCCGCTCTCTTCTCCTTCTTCTCTTTCCTTCTCTCTCTCTCTCTCTTCTCTCTCTCTCCTTCTCTCTCTCTTCTCCTCTCTTCTCTCTCTCCTCTCTCTACTTCTTCTCTCTGCTCTCGTTTCTCCTCATATTGTCTCTCGTCTCTCTCTTCTCTTCTACTCTCTCTCTCTCTAGTTCTCTTCATCTACTGTCTCTCTCCTCTCTCCCTCTCTCGGTCTTCCTTCTCCCTCTTCTCTCACTCACTCTCTCTCTCTTCTCTTCTGTGTCTCTCTCTATCTCTCTGCTCTCTGCTCTCTCTACTCTCCCTTGCTCTCTTGTGTCTGCGCGGTCATGCTCGTCATGCTCTTTCCTCACACCTCACCCATCGCTCTGCCTTCTCCTACGGTGCTCATCTCCCCTTCCTCATCCTCACTCCTTCGCCCTCACATCTCTCTCTCCCTCCCTCTCTCTCATCTCTCTCCCTCGTCTCTCTCTCCTCTCTCTCTCTCTCTCTCTCTCTCTCTCTCGTCTCTCTCTATCTCTCTCTCTCTCTCTCTCTCTCTCTCTCTCTCTCTCCTCTCTCTCTCTCTCCTCTCTCCCTCTCCTCTCACTCTCTCTCTCTCTCTCTCTCCTCTCTCTCTCTCTCTCTCTCTCTCTCTCTCTCTCTCTCTCCTCTCTCCTCTCTTCTCTCGCTCTCTCTCTCTCCCTCTCACTCTTCTCTCTACTCTCTTCTCTCTCTCTCTCTCTCTCTCTCTCTCCTTCTCGCTATTTTCTCTCCTCTCCCTCCTTCCCTCCCTCCCTCCCTCCCTCCCTCTCTCCCCCTCCCTCCCTCTCTCTTCCCTCTCCTCTACCCCTCTCCC